CAGTAAATGACTCCAATAACACCCACAAAGAAGCACTGCCAAACAATGATAGTCCATACTACCACTGTATAATATCTAGCTTCTCCAAGATTAAATTGTTTTGCCTCCCTTGATATTGCCTGCAAATTTTAATCAATTTCTTAATCGTTGCTCTTTAAAAAGATTGTCTATAGCTAAGATAAAATTGAATCCTTGGAAGTATATATGATACAAAACATTTAGGTAAATCTATTCGAATCCAGTGTATTACTCTAGCTTACATATACTTTTGATATATCCAAATTTAATATAATGCATCATGGACGCAAAATGTATTCAGTCATAGGATACCACAAGTCAAGAGTCATAGGATATGAATAATTTAGGGTTCCTACTGCTAAAGTCAAACTCACAAGTCACAACTCATTACATGCTTTTGTTCTCTCTTGTGAAGATGGAAATGAAATAAGAAATCCTAAAAGATGGACTACTGATCGTTGGTGAATTAATACCAAACGAGAAACATGTAATACGATCTCTTTTGCGATTTATGTGACTTAATTTGCTTCTCGATACGAAATTTAAGAAAAAATAAATAAATTTATGAAACATGGGTTTTAGACATATATATTTCATAATATTTGTGTGTTTTTAAGACTTTTCAAACTTGTGATTTTAAACTTGCATCTTGTGTGGTTGTAAAAAACTTCTTATTAAAAGTAAAATTAGAAATTTAAACATAAACACTATCAATTGTAGAAATGTATCATTTTATTTGAATCGGATTAAATATAGAAAAAATTTAAATAATTCACCCTTACACCGTAAAGCTCTTTTACATTTCTAACTAGTAATAACATGTCAATTGCTCTTTCATCATGTTATCAATAAATATAAAGATAGAAAAACTTTGAGACAATGCATAGAATTTAAACCCACAAAATAATAGTATCACATAAAATGCGACAGAGTGAGTATGACGCATGGGTAGAAATGAGTTACAGGGGAAGAAAAAATTACCTTGAAGTCGTTATTAACGATCATTCCTACTGTGCAAAAAGCAGTAGCAGCAAAACACATGACCATTTGAATCTCTAATACTAACGTAGCAGTAATAGCTTGCTTTGCCTTCAAGTAAATCAACTCAATACAAGGCAAAATGACTCCATATAAAGCTGCTGCCAGAAGTGTCATCATAAAACCAATAATATAGGCTTTACTTGTCACACCCTCTGGCCGATCACCATTAGATCGAACACCTAATAAAACAACACCAAGTGTCAGCAGAACTACTGCATTGATAGAGTAAGGTGTGAACTTCAGCTTCACTATAAAGAAAGCACCTATTGCCGTGAAGGCAAGTTGAGCAGCAAGGACAAGTGAAGAGGTTGATACGGGTAGTTTTGACCCGCCCCATGAATAAAGAAAATCATCAAGACCAGTGACAATGCCAATGATGAAAGATGCGATGAAAATTCGGGGTGTTATCAAGTAATACTTGGCATTAGTGCCTCCGCTTTTTCGACGATAGAAGTATAGGATGGCAAGAGGTATGAGGGTGAATGGCCATCCAGCAGTTTGTAACCAACTGCTAAACCATACTCTTGAACCTCCCTCGACATAATATAAACGCATCATTAGTAACAAAGTTGTATTAGAACTTCAAAGGCTGCACTTTATTAATGAACACATAGGCGTATTTATACATAGCAATCCTTGATTAAGGAGGAGTAGAATCCCTGAAGAAGGGGAAGAGATAAAGGTTAATCTAAACTAACAAAGATAAGGATTACAAGATAGCTTTCTATCTAATATGCCCCCTCAAGATGGGCAATCGCTCGGACGAGTACAAATGCCAATCTTGTTCTTCAACCTGTCAAACTCAAGACGAGAAAGAGGTTTAGTTAGAATGTCAGCAAGTTGATCCTTGGTTGAGACATGAGCAACCCGAAGAAGATACCAAATCACGCACAAAGTGAAAATCAACTTCTAAGTGTTTCATTCGGGAATGAAAAACTGGTTTAGCACACAAATAAGTAGATCCCAAGTTGTCACAATATATCGCTGGAGGACGTAAAAAGGAGACAGCCAGTTCCTTGAATAAGTTCCTCAACCAACAAAGTTCAGCAGCTGTAGATGCAACCGAGCGATATTCAGCCTCGGTTGACGAGCGAGCAACAGAACGCTGCTTTTTAGAGCTCCAAGCAACTGGATTCTTCCCAAGAAAAATTATGTGAGCACTCGTAGACGTGCGATCATCACGATTACCAGCCCAATCAGCATCCGAGAAGGCATGAAGAGTTAAAGGAGAGTCCTTGTGAAAAGAAAATACCCTTAGTCAAATCGTAACCAAGAAGATATCTGATCACCCTTTTGAGAGCTTGCCAATGCTTGACAGTAGGACGATGAGAGAATTGAGCAAGACGCGTGGTGGCAAAGGCGATGTCTGGTCAGTTAATGCTAAGTATTGCAAAGGAACCAACAAGC